TCTCAGTTGTAGTCATATTAATGTAAACCGAAATAGTAGTAGTAATATTTATATAAAATACTCTTTAAGTTATTGTTGTTAATCTATAGGGAAAAGTGTCAATTAAGCCCACATACTATTGTGAAAAAGTCAATTGAGTCCACGTAGTTTTTATTTAATCAATTAAGTCTTCTAACTCTCAAATTTTAACCAATCTTTCCATTTAAGCGGTTACCAACCGGTAACCCTCCCATATTGATGAAGTGGAAGCCACCTGGACATTTTTTAATTGTTTTCATTTTTCCTTTCTTTTATATTTCTCTTAATTATTCCCTTTCTCTGGTTCGTGACAGCCCCTGCTTCCCCCTTTCTTCTCCCCCTTTTTCTTCTTGTCTTTTTCTGTACTCCATCTTTCCCTGCGACATGTACAGCTAAGTAGCAGGGAAACGGGAAACCTAAAACGCGAGAAACATAATTTCTAAAAAACATAGGACACGAAACGTGGGGGAAACGCATAAATATTAGAAAATATAAGGACATATTTATAAATATTTTTTAATATATGTACACAAGTTTTCCCATATGCACATGTTTTTTTAATATAATTTGTTTAATAACCAAATAATAAAATCACTCTACATGTTCGAATTTAGATATTATTTCATATTAATACATAATTAAACATAAAATGTACGGAGTAATACATTTCTAGCAATACATTGCGTTACGAAATGTAACATGTGTTGCCGCTGAGAAATACCACAAAAATTCACTATAAAAAATTATTTTCCACCACAGAATCTTTTGAAAAAGAAAAAAAATTGGAATCCGAGGTTTCCGAAACGTAGTGAAACGGGTTTCCAAATTTTTCTTAATTACGGAAACGGCCCCGAAACGGGAATTTGAAGTTTCCGAGTTTCCGAAACGCTTCCGGGTTTCCGAAACGTGGAAACGTGAGCCATGAAGAGTTTCCGTGCTTCCTAGATGTACAGACCTCCTCCTCCCATTTTTTCTTTTTCCTCCCCCTCCCCTCTCACCCGTCACCATGCGGCACTTCCCTTTCTTTTCTCCCCCCTCCTTTTTCCCTTTTCTTTCTTGTTAATTCGCTAGTTCCATTCTTCTCCGTTGGAACCTGGATTGCGGCCTACGAAATCGAAGAGATCTTCCATCTGGGAAATCGAGTCTTAATCGACGGTGGACGGCGGCGGCGCACGATAGGAAAGCAGGTGACGAGAAATAAATCGGAAAAGATAAGAAAACGAAATGGAAAAGAAAGAAAGAAAGAAAGAAAGAAAGAAACAAGCCATTGCTAAGTCCATGGAAGAGGGAAGAGAAAGAATGTAAGAAACGGGAAGAGAAAAAAAACGGGAAAACAAATGGAAAAGAAAGAAGAAAGAAGCCATTGTTAAGTTCAGGGAAGAGGGAAGAGAGTCATTTATATTCATTTGCCAAATTTCTGGGTTGTATAAAAAAGAGAGAGAGAGAAAAGTCACATGTACCTCCACATCAGCAACTGCCGCCGGTTTTTCTCGTCCACCCCTGGCTAAAAAGCCTAATTGACTAAATTTTAACCCTTAGTGAACTTGATTCATTTTAATGAATGTGGACTCGATCAATTGACTTTTCTGAAATAGTGTGTGGACTTATTTGACAGTTTTCTCTAATCTTATATGGTTAAATTTTTATGATTGTTGAGGTTTATTCCTTCAACTCCAGAGGCCCAACACCTTCCTTTGGATTTTGAGCGGAGTATTTAGTGAGTTATAGGTGATAAGTAAGCATAAACAATAAATGACAAGAAAGAAGAGATATATAGTAAGTGTGTCGTGTCTCATTCAATAATAATAGGAGTCTGTCACAACACACTTCACTATAGGCCTGCAACGCTGATCGTCATTCAATTCGAGCTAGGAAGAGGGGGATAATTGTTATTGCTAGGGAGTATAAGTAACTAACTCTTTACAATGAAATAAATGTTACTATTTATACTAACAAGTGGTGGGTGATGTCGATGATGTGGAGGATTGTTGGTGGCTAGCTTCCCAACTATTAAATCTACTGCATTAAATGTGTTTCCCGCTAATATGTTGGTTTCACGCCAATAGGTCCGGAAGAGTGTTCGCACAATCTTGGACTCTGGATCCGAATGGTCATGAGGATCGCAACCCGCTCGGCCTACGCCAATTTTTCTCCCGGGATCCTTGTCTAGCTCCATTTGGCCAAGGACGGGGACACAGAGCATCATAATTCCTTAGTAGGCCGAATGTCTTCCTAATTTCCTTGCTAGGTTGTACCCAAAGGGTTATTGGGTTGTTCCTATATCGGCCAATTAACCCAACAATGGTAAAACTCCATATATTAACAATTATTAAGATGAAAAACAAAACATTAAACTTGTAAGGTTAAAGTTCGTGTAGCATGATGTCTATCAAAAGAGGAGATGAGCTCATAAGAGCATCAGCAATGGGAGGTCAATTGGGGATATAAAAAAATGATCCCCATTATGGGAGGTCGGGGGATCAATTATTGATCGATAGACATGGAAGCTCAAAAGTGGCGGCATCTCACAAAAATTTAGAGAAGGCATGTGACTAACCAATTAAAGAATTGAAGGTCATGTGGCTTTTTATTTAGAATGAAACCACCAACCTCATCAAACATCCCCAAACTATCTAATTTCATTTATTATTGATTAAATTTAATTTATTGTAAAACAAAGTTATACCAAAAAGTTAGATTTTTCTCTCTCTATAAATAGACATCAATGAATGATAAGTTTGTCACTTCGAAATTTACCACTTCTTTCCCTCTTGCATTTAATTTTATCTGTTTTAGAATATATTTTCCTCTGAAAATGGATCCAACCCGTTCTCTACCTTGATACAATGTCAACAATAAATAATGATAGTGGGTTAAATGTGGATTTTATATTCCTGTTTCAAATTATATAAATTAATAATGTGAAATATACCCAAAATATGGAGAGAGAATGTATAAATTTTAAGTGACCTAGGTCACCATAATAAGGTGAAAGTATGATAGGTTGAAGAGGAATGAATTATTGGTGGAAAATGATGTGAAAAAGAGAAGAGGGGATCAAATCATCATTGAATGCTCTAAGTGTAGAGAATTAAAACTTACGGAGTAATAGCTAAAAGTGCTCAAAACAATTGTCAGATTGAATATCTAACGGCATCACACGAGTGAAACAATACTCCCCAATGTCACTAATACTATCTAAATGATGAAGGGAATGGGATAAGGAAGTCACATACTCAGATGTGCACAACCTTACACATGTATTATACGGAGTAGCATTTAGAGAATATTTCAGAATGATTTATAATGAAAACATATTTTTCCTATTAATAATGCACCTACATGTAAAAAAAGCACCTAATATACCTGTATCATCATTTTAAACATGATGATAAGTTGATAACACGTCAATTTAGCGTCATGTACGCATATTTATTTACTTCATTCATAATTCGACATTAAATTATATATTTCTACGAAAACATAATTGAAATTATATTCATAGTTACAACTTACAAGTGATGAGACTAGAGTTCGTATCATTATAACATTATTATGGTTAATTGGTTACTTTAGTGTATAGAATCGTATTGATTAAAAGTTACCAATATAATCATTATACTTCGTATATAATTGATGGAATGATGGTGTATAATAAGTTTGTGATGATTTATATAATCAGATTTGACCACGAAGTGACTACATATCATTTTTGTTACGAACATATTTCATTTCTTAGAATATGACTTGCCATTTTTCAGCAAAAAAAGTTATCAATTTAACAAGCAATAATAAAGGATATAGGAAAATAATGAAGATATATATATATATATATATATATATATATATATATATACATACATATATATATATATATATATATATATATATATATATATATATATATATATATATATATATATATAGAGTGCTCTTCTCATCAGGCCGGCCTGACGGGATGCTCCGTCCGGCCGAGCCCATTTGGGCACCTTCCCGGTGGAATTTTTTGATGAAATTTTTTGAGCATGTTCCCCATCAAGTCTAGTTTGTCCATACCAAATTTCAGCTCAAAATTCGATCGGGAAGGCATTCAAATCATTTTTTGAAGTTGACTGCGTCAAAATATACTTATAAAACTGCAGTCAACTTCAAAAAATGATTTGAATGCATTCCCGATCGAATTTTGAGCTGAAATTTGGTATGGACAAACTAGACTTGATGAGGAACATGCTCAAAAAAATTCATCAAAAAATTCCACCAGGAAGGTGCCCAAACGGGCTCGGCCGGATGGAGCAGCTCGTCAGGCCGGCCTGACATGAACATTCCTCTATATATATATATATATATATATATATATATATATATATATATATATATATATATATATATATATATATATATATATACATATATATATATATATATATATATATATATATATATATATATATATATATATATATATATATGGGTGAGATCAAATACAAACTAGTCTTCCCATGCTAACCTACAAACTGTCACAAACTGTGCATCTTTACATTATTTGTACTGCATATTGAAGTTCAAAGTGTTGCATATTATTTGTACTGCATATTAAAGTTTAAAGTGCTGCATATTATTTGTAATGCATATTGAAATTCACAGTGTGCATCTTTACATTATTTGTATTGCACATTGAAGTTCAAAGTGTTGCATATTATTGAGTTTGTAGGTTAGTATTTTAAGCATGGTTTGTATTTGATCTCTTATATATATATATATATATATATATATATATATATATATATATAATCCCTCCGTCCCAAATTGTTTTGCAAAGTCAATATTTTTTGGTCAACCAATAATAAAAATCATTGCTCCGTATCGATAATTAATGTACATTTTAATAATAGAAATTTATATATTCAGAAACTACATTAAAACCTCTTCATAGTTGTAAACTCCAAATTAGAATATAATTAAAAATTGACATCCTAATTAAGCGAATAAAGTGAAACTGTTTGACCAAGAAAAGTCAAATTTACAAATCAATTTGGGACGGAAGTAGTATATAGTAAAACAAAAAAATATGGAGAGTTTTGGGCGGGGATTTGGGCGGGATAGTGTGTGTAATGGATATACGTAGTATATCTCTTCTCAAATATAGTGTCGGATCGCATCGGGATCTAGACCCGAGCCATTGAGAGGCCTAAATATTTATAAGACAAATATATTTATTTAAAGATAAAATATTTTGGCACCAGCTACCAAACTTGCTGAAAAATAAAATCTCCAATTTCGGAAAATTTTCCTTCGCATAATCTCTTCTACCGTATTACCCGATCCACCACTCCTTGCCCATCGCAAGAAATGAGCTTGACCTGCCGGGGCGGTTGCCAGTTATTTCAACGCCGGAGGCGGCGGCGACATTGCGTTGTTCATCGTGAATCGACTTGTATTTGGTGTTAGACAACCGCAACACGCGCATTTCCTCGACGGGGAGTTTGGAGATGTCGGCAGTGGAAATCTTCCGACCCAACCGGGCCGCCGCCCGGCTGCAGAGGCGGTCGGCTTCTTCATGCCTCAGTAATACGCGGAGGCGGTCCTCCGCCTCTTCCAAGGTGATCCACGACGGCGGATCGGTAAAAGGCGCCGTCGGTGAGTAGACGAGGACCTCCCGGTAGAGGAGGCCGGTAGGGCAGATGACGGACCTTATCTGCAGGGCCTGAATCGGGGCGAAACGGCGGAGGAGCCGGGCCTCCTCATCGTAGCCGTTGACCATTTGACTCAGTTTCCTGATTTTCCATAAATCCATTGACGATTTGACGGCAGTATCTAGGGGTGGAAATAGGCTAGCCGGCCTGTCAGGGGCCTGTGGCCTGGCCTGTTAAAGGCCTGGCCTGGCCTGTTAAAGGCCTGGCCTGGCCTGGCCTGTTTAGTAATCAAGCTAGGCTTGGGCTTTTCTAAAAGCCCGTTTATTTAAATAGGCCAGGCCTAGCCCAACTCTAAAGCCTTTTTACCTTAACAGGCCGGCCTATTTATATGTGTGTACATATATATAGTTATATTGAGAAATATTCCTGTCCGGACGTCCGGACAGGAACCGCCGTACGGACCGCGGCGTTTGGCCGCCTTCCCGGTGGAATTTTTTGATGAAATTTTTATGGCATGTTCTCCATCAAGTCTAGTTTATCCACAAAAAAAATCAGCTAAAAACTCAATCGGGAAGGTCGTCAAATGATTTTTTCAAGTTAACTGGTCCGGAATATGTATTTTCCGGACGAGTTAACTTGCAAAAATCATTTGACGACCTTCCCGATTGAGTTTTTGGCTGAATTTTTTTGTGGATAAACTAGACTTGATGGAGAACATCCCATAAAAATTTCATCAAAAAAAGCCACCGGGAAGGCGGCCAAACGCCTTGGTCCGGACGGCGGTTCCGGTCAGGAGCTCCTGACCGGATCATTAACTCTAGTTATATTTATATTTATTTGTATTATTTATATTTATATTGGTATACTCAACTATATCCAAATCAGTATAATAGTATTTTTAGGGAGTGTATTATAAATTAGAATAGACTACTTTTTTAAATATATATAAAGTGTTTTAATAGTTTATTAAGGTAATTGAAATTCAAAGTTTTTCAAGAATCAAAGTACATCGAAATTTATAAACTACCTAATAATACTCCATAATAATGTATTATTAGACATCCAAAGCAAAACTAACGTATTATTAGACTTTTTACCGGATTAAAAGGATTTTTCACTTTTCATTTTGTATTTTTTTTGAAATTTTATTTTTTTCTTAACAGGCCCGGTAAACAGGCTTCAGGCCAGGCCAGGCTTTTAAACAGGCCAGGCCCAGGCCGAAAAAACAGGCCTTTAACAGGTAACAGGCCAGGCTCAGACCTATATTTTCTAAAACAGGCCTGGCCTGTTTAGGCGAAAGCCTGGCCTGGCCTGGCCTGTTTCCACCCCTAGCAGTATCAAAACCGTAGCAGAACAGAGGAGTATTATGCATTATATATATAGTACTCCGAAAATGGACAGACGCCGGCTATTCGATTTCTTCGCCACGGTGATTCAATTTTCGAAACAGGCGTTTCACGCTTTCACTAAAATTACTGAGCAGTGTAAAATTTTTACTTTACACGTCGATCAAAAGGTCTGTGTACAAATAATTTGAGAAAAAATTTGGCCGGTGTTTTGTAAAGAGAATCGGTTTTCACGCAGACAAAAAAAATCTGTGTTGTGAACATATTTATTTTGTTTATGACACCAACAATTACTTTTTGTCTGTACGAAACCGGTATTTGTCACAAAACGCCGATCAATTGTTTGCTAACTTTGTTTGTCAAGTTGCGCACACATTTTGTCATGTACGAAATGTATTTTCGTAATGCTCAAGAGCAAATAGAAGTTGAAATGCAAAAAATCTTAAAAGCTTATAATCCTCGATGAGAGTTAGGGCATTTTAGGTTAGAAAATTATGTTGGTGTAATCATTTGCTTTATTTAATGGTACATTGTGTTTGACCTTGTGTACTTTTACTTTGGAATTAAGGGGCCGTTTGGAGAGTATAAAATGGGCTGATAAGCCTTAAAATACAAAAAGAGAGCCAAACACATGTCATTTGGGCTGTTTGGGCTGATTTTCCTTATCAGCCAAAAAAGTAACAAAAAGGTTACTTTTTAGGCTGAAATGTATTAATCCACTGTTCAAAATCGAAAATACCTATCTGTCCTCTCCGTAATACATCTGCTTCGGAAAATAGAAGACCAATTCTAGATCGACATCTCCATCTACTCGCTCCATCTTCTCCAGATTGGTTGCGTCGATTTTATCTGCTCGGCTGCGTTCATCTCCTTCCAGACTGGCTTCTCCATATCGGGTGTTCCGGACTTTGGTTCTGATTTTCGTTGGGTGTAAATTGCAGAACTTTGGTTTGATTTTTGTTGGGTATAAGCTCCAGAACTTTGATTCCGATTTGCATCCCCAATGGGTGCTCTAGATTGGGAAATGTTCCCGGCAGTATATGTGTCGATATATGTTCAGTTTGGGTCTAAACTACTGTTTCAGTTTGGGTCTAAATTGCTGCCTTGAACAACATAAGCAAAAAAATAAGCAAATACCCCTTAACGGTAATTTTACATTCAATCAGCCATTTCAGCCAACATATTATCAAACACTTTCATTTCAGCATATTCAGTCTTTTCAGACTTTTCAGTCTTTTCAGCTATTCCAGCTGTTTCCAAACGGGCCCTAAGTTTCCCCTTTAACTCTCGTTAATAGCTACGTCTGTTGCCGTTGAACCCTGACTTCACTGTTGTACCATTAGCTTCTATAGGATTTTACCGTTCTTCCTCCGATCTATTTTAATTTATACGGAGTATTAGAAGGATCCCCAGGCGGTGTTTATGAACGAATTCACGGCATCCAAAATACATCCCTCTAACTCAATCTTCCTTTCACCAAGACCCCAATCAAGATCAATAGAAATCCCTAACGATAGAGGCCATCGAGGTTGACCAGTAACTCAAGAAACATTTCGGTAACAGGTTTGGTTTTTCATTTTTTCCTCAATAGGAGTGAATCATTATGTTTCTTCACATTTGAGGATGAATTGAGCTTTGATGATTTCATTATTAATCAATTTAACTCTAACTGTAACTAAATCTTCAACACAACTTCTACTATGATGACCAATTAAGGAGCCTATTAATGTTGTATGGCTAAGAGTTAAAATCCAGAGTGTTATTATTATTTAGCATTCAGATTCTCTAGACCATGTACATTCAAGAACAACTATGACCTTCTCCAACTCTGACACTTTAACATTTCAGAAATCATGCATTACTTATATAAAACTATATTATACATAGTATATGATTTGTACTTATAGAGATATACATATTTTTCTTAATAATGCATTAATATGATTTGTAATATTTGACATCCATCCCTCTTCATGTACAGGTCATTGATTTTTCGTGAAAATGCATTAAAATAGTTTTATCTTTTAACTTAATGCAAATTGACAGCCCAAGTTCATATTCTTTTATTACTATTCTCAAATTGACACCCTTTTTCTTATCACCCAATCTATATGAGGTGAAAAGTGTAATTACAGTATGTTACACAAAAATACAGAGCAAATCCACGTATCAAATTGCCCTTCTTGAAAGCAAAGCCAGTACATAACATATAGCAGAATTAACAGATGCCAATGCAATGATTAACAGTCTGACTAGAGCAAGGGCCAGGCTAGCTGTCTTCAGGCTAAACTAAAGTTCTAATATTAGTCCATTATCAGGGCCGTCTCTAGCAGTTTTGGTGCCCCAGACAAAAAATGATCAATAAGATCAAACAATACTTAAAATTAAAAACATAATTAAATGTGAAGTGATTAGAAATTTATAAAACGATTTTTTATGCAATGTAAAAGGTAACACTTGATTTAAATTGATATAAAGTATGTTAAAATAGAAGTTCTTTTAAGAAATAAATACAACTATAAAAGTACTACCCAATAACTTATCCACAGAACCGAAGAAATAGAAGTTTTAAATAATCAAGAAATTTTATCAATTCAGAATCCAAAAGATAGATGAATTATCAATTCAGGACTTGAAAGATGAGATGTTCGGTATAAGACTCGAATGATGGAAAACTATCAATCTAAGATCTTACGTTTTATATGTTTTGGTTTATTTAATCTTTTAAGATTTTCATTGCTAATTTTTTATAAACTTTTCTTCACAAAAAATTCATTAGTTTAATAAAACTATACAACATTTAAAATTTTTAAAATAAAAAATCAATAAAATTCATGGCAATTTAGGTTCTAAATTGATAATTTTCAATCATACAAGTCTTATTGATAGTTTTACATCATTCGGATCTTATATCGATAAATTTCATCTTTTAGGTCCCGGGTTGATAATTTATCTATCTTTCGGATCGTGAATTGATAAAATTTCAATAATCAAATACGTAGTATCACGAATTAATTAGTTGGTTAATGAATGCTGAAATTTCAAATCAACAGGATCAATTTTTTTAGAAAAGAAACTGGATAATGGTTGGATAAGTGGATTGCAGAATTGGCTAGTGGATGTTCTTTGTTGCCTCATGTAATCCCAATGACCGTATACGGTACAACATACAAATTTATTAGGGAAATAGTCTACGAAGTAATAATAATAGTCCAAATAGATAAACTACATTACTTATCTATTCCCAAGGCTAATTTCTTCCTAATTTTCTATTGGGTCATCCAGCCAGCGGGCCAGCCTCCCATATTTGTCAGAATTTGTTTACGGAGTACTCGTATTTTTTTGTACTACTAGTAGTTTTTATACCCACACAGCCGCTGGCCACTCGAAATGCAGGTACTAGTTTTAAAAAAAAGTGATGCCCCCTTGGGAGTGGTGCCCTAGGCCATTGCCTAGGTGCCTGCCCCATATGGCCGGCTCTGTCCATTATGAAGCACAAAAGGTGTTTCTGTATTTGTCTAGCTTAGAGTTTTTGTGTTTGTGATTGTTAGCTAACTTTAAAGGTATGCAACTTTAATTGCTTATAAAATAAGCTCAGCTTGATGTATTCAAGATGTGTTCTTAATCTCTCATCTTCTTCATTTTTTCATTAAAATGTCAATATAGGCAGTCTAGATCCGAAGCTATATTAAAACAATCAGATTGGCAAGGAACTGATTCGGTATATACGAAAAACCATTTCATTAGTCCTGCACGCTGCTCATCTCCTCATTATGGACATATGAAGAAACCAGTTATTACTAACAGGAGACATTCTAATACAAAAACCCTGCCTAATAGGCTTATGTATGACATTGTCTCACTCTTAAGTATGACACAAATAAACGTCTATACAGAAATTGAAATTGGGCATTATCCCCTCGCACATCGCGCGTTTAAATAACTAGTACTACAAAAAGTACGAAGTATTACTACGTACATTTTTTGAGTAAGAGTGATTCTAAATCAAAAAAAATAATACGGAGTAGTTATTTCAATAGTTTTTTGATAGAAGAAGACTTAATTATTACGGAGTATTAATAATGAAAGTAACACGAGATAAAATAATTCAATAACTCAAGGCTACATTGGGGTGAGACATAG